GGGAGACTCGCAGGACACTGGCTACAGGACAAGGATTGGATAAAGCTGATTCGCTACATTCCCTGAGCAACCCTAGCCACTTCGAAAGCGGGGATCTCAGACCGCAGCCCCCCAGGGATGGCGAGGTCTAATTTGGGTCCGCGCGTGGCGTCACTGTGCTGGGCCCCCCAGCAGGCTTCGAAAGTGGCGACGCTTTCACAGATCGCAGCCCCCCAGGGATGGCGAGGTCTAATTTGGGTCCGCGCGTGGCGTCACTGTGCTGGGCCCCCCCAGCAGGCCTCGAAAGTGGCGACAGTTTCACAGATCGCAGCCCCCCAGGGATGGCGAGGTCTAATTTGAATCTGCCCGTGGCGTCACTGTGCTGGGCCCCCCAGCAGGCCTCGAAAGTGGCGACAGTTTCACAGATCGCAGCCCCCCAGGGATGGCGAGGTCTAATTTGGGTCCGCCCGTGGCGTCACTGTGCTGGGCCCCCCAGCAGGCCTCGAAAGTGGCGACAGTTTCACAGATCGCAGCCCCCCAGGGATGGCGAGGTCTAATTTGGGTCCGCCCGTGGCGTCACTGTGCTGGGCCCCCCAGCAGGCCTCGAAAGTGGCGACAGTTTCACAGATCGCAGCCCCCCAGGGATGGCGAGGTCTAATTTGGGTCCGCCGCGATGGCGTCCCTGTGCTGGGCCCCCCAGCAGGCCTCGAAAGTGGCGACAGTTTCACAGATCGCAGCCCCCCAGGGATGGCGAGGTCTAATTTGAATCCGCCCGTGGCGTCACTGTGCTGGGCCCCCCAGCAGGCCTCGAAAGTGGCGACAGTTTCACAGATCGCAGCCCCCAAGGGATGGCGAGGTCTAATTTGAATCTGCGTGTGGCGTCACTGTGCTGGGCCCCCCAGCAGGCCTCGAAAGTGGCGACAGTTTCACAGATCGCAGCCCCCCAGGGATGGCGAGGTCTAATTTGGGTCCGCGCGTGGCGTCACTGTGCTGGGACCCCAGCAGGCCTCGAAAGTGGCGACAGTTTCACAGATCGCAGCCCCCCCAGGGATGGCGAGGTCTAATTTGAATCTGCGTGTGGCGTCACTGTGCTGGGCCCCCCAGCAGCCCTCGAAAGTGGCGACAGTTTCACAGATCGCAGCCCCCAGGGATGGCGAGGT